AATTTCTCTTTTCTTCATTATGATTTCCTACCACGTACTAACGGCTACATTCATCATTTAATTGATTAATTAATCATTATCTTCATCTTCATCACGAACGAGTCTCTGTGATCAGCTGTGATGGCGTCATGGCAGCAGAATTCAGAGTGGGGACGGAGTGAGAGAGTAATAGATGGAGAAAAAGTGAATAGAGAATAGAGGAATAGAAACTCGAGAAGGGAAATATAGGGAAATCGTCAGATTATAATTTTTTGTTATTTTCTTCAAAAAAAAAATAGCTCGCTCGAGAATGTCGAAATGACGTTATTTTTTTACAACTTTGGTGCCCTTCCCTTCCTTTACGTCACTCTCAAATTGTCAGATTACTGGAATATGCACTTTTTAGCAGGTAACTAACTCAACCTACCTTAATCTGACGCGCTCGAGAATTTCTGATGATCAATTTCTTTTTACTAATCTGATCCTTTATCCCTCACAGGCGGCCTTATATATGGGGCTCATATTTGGTGGAAGTACTTAACCGGGTACAAGGTATCCCCCTTCATATTAATCTGCTGCGTTTTACTAAATCCCGAAATCCCCGCTTGGGCTCCCCTATTATTGGAATTATAGTTCCAACAAGTACCGTTTCAACGGTATGCGAAGCATAAACATATGTTTCATTCATATACAATCATTTTGATAAATTGTCTGTACGACTTCATGACACGTAAAAAAGCTATCCTCAATTGACGAATATCATGTGTCTCCATTAATATTTTACTATTTGTTATCGTTTTTCCTCACGAAGAAAATCTTTTCCTACTGTGTATCCAGTTTCTTTAACTTTTCTCTAAACATTCGGCATTGTAGGCACAATTTTGTCAGTGGTATAACTATTTATAATAATTATAAATCTCGCAACAGGCTTCCATATGCTATAAATTGTTCATTGTTCATAAATTGTTCAAAATAATGTGAATGTTATTTCCTTCTCTGATAATAAAGTCGAAACTTCGACTTTCAACTGCATCTTTGATATTCGAAAATTGAGACCATTTTTTATTCCATAGGTGGCGTCTTTGTAGAGGGAGACGCCATACCTCTACGGTATGTTTGAAATGTTTCTGTTAAAAATGTGAGGATTCGTGTTTCACTGCGATTTGTTTTGTTAGGTTGTTTCAACAGTTTTTTCCTTTTAAATTCCATGGTTTTTGTTGCTTCATATCTCTATGAATGGGCTTGTTTCATGCTATGGAAAATGATACTGGTTACCTTATAGACTGATCGAGTTAGGGGTATATTATACTTATCAAGCCTAATCGGTCCTAAAATCTCTTTATATTTGCAAAAAAAAAGAATAATTCTAAATTCAAGAATTTGAATTGACCGCGTGCCTGTTGATCAATAAAATTGATCGTGTCTAGAGCGGAGTTGCCAAGTGTATTGGTTTTTAATATCCAATCACAGATCTGATGATCCAATTTGACAGACGCCATTTTTGTTGTTATTATTGTCAACTCGGTGTGAATACAACTGTTACAATTATCTAATTAAAAAACGTTATTTTTGTAAAAGGTAGGTATTGGCGGGTGCCTTTTTCAAAAAATATTTTTTCAGGTTATTTTTGGATTGATATGTTGTGGAGTAATTCTACATTTCACTGTACATATTTTTGCTTCTCTTTTCAGTCACCATACTGCTTCTTGGCCGAGATAAAATAAAAATTAAATCAAAACTTTCTCTCCTTCGATAAAAGACAAAGTCTGAAATGAATGTCTTATAAATGAACGGGACCTACTAAATATACCACCTACCGTTTCAATTTTTCATTCTTCATGTCGGTACCAAATGTAAATTTCTCGAGTAAAATTCATCGATCAATTCAAAATCGACTCATGGTAAGTTGTCGGGAGTCAGCTTCAACAAAACTAAGCTCAACATTCATTTTGAAATTATTTTAACAAAAATACGAAGTTTGTGGAAACCGTTGACATTAGAAAGAGCACATTGTCGCATTCACTACAGAGAGCGCTGGCTGACTGGATGACAATATGGCTAATATACCAGTAACGTTAAATTTTCATTTTTGGTGGGTGGCATGAATGCATAATTGAGGGTTCATGAGCATTCGGAAACCATCAGAAAATGCAGCTCGTTTAATTTTATTTAGAATCATATTTAGATATAACTTGAAACTATAAAACAAAAAACAAGCCCATTCATTCAACTGTGTTGTGGTATATGCTGATCGATAGAGAATTTTATACTCTATACATTGAAGCTTTCAATGTCTTTCAAAATTATATTTTTTTGTCTATTTTTCGGCTCATTACTATATGATGTCGTCAAGTGAATTTCGGCCAATTTTCGTCTACGAATTCGAATTGAACCATAGCGTTGCCGAAACAGACCGGAAAATTTACCAGGCATTTGGCATTGATAGTGTTAATGAACGTTGGTTTGCGAAATTTCGTTCCGGATATTTTAGCCTTGAAGATGAGCCACGAAGTGGTCGACTCTTAGTAATCTAGGTCAAGGATTTGAGGATCCTCTTGAAGACTACCCTGTAACAAACGGTGCGTGGAATGGCGAAATAACTAAGCGTCATTCCCCGTGCGGTTTTTGATGATTTAAAAAGTATGGAAAAGGTCAAAAGACTAGAATAATGAGTGTCCAATGATTTGAAAGATTGACAGAAATTGTTTCAAAGTCAGTTCTATTTTGCTTTTGCTGAACCAAAACAATCCTTTATAAGATCAGATCGACGTGTGTGATGAAAAATGAATCCTCTATGACAACAGGATACGTTAAGGACAGTGGTTGGACACCGATGAGCCATCCAGGCATTTCCCAAAAACGAAAACCCACAAAAAAAAATTACTATTAGGTGGTATGCGGTTAGTGTAATTCGCAATAATACCGAAAATAGCGACAGCAGCAGCTGGCACTTGTCAACAGAATAGATCAAATTCTGCTACACGGCAACGCCCGTCCGCACGTTTCACAAATCACCGTCCGAAAAATCAAACGAATTGAATGTCGAAGTTCTGTCTTACCCACCATACTCTCCAGACCTCTCACCAACCGACTACCATTTTTTCAAGCACTTCGATAACCTTCTCACTGGTAGAACCTTCATCAATCAAGACCAGGCAAAAACGGTCTTTGTCGATTTCATCGAATCCCCAGCACAAAA